GGCTGAATTGCACAAAACGCATGATCGCACCGGCTAGCCTGGTGCGCGTTGCCATTTATTTTCTTTAAAACAGTCGCAGTGCGGTTGTGTTTATCTGTTTCTAATTTCTTTGGAATAAAATTGAGTAAAAGCTTTTTTTTTTTCTTCAACAGGGAAAGTTGTTATTGTATTTGGCATCTTTTAGTTTTAGACAACATACCGCGATAAGCCTGGTTTAAGTTTCCCCTCTGTATTTTGGGCTGATATTTCGACTTTTTGATATTTTTCCGCCTTTTCCCCCAGTATCTTACTTTGCCTCTGTTGATGGCTACCATAGTTTAAAAAAATATACGTGCATTACAGATTACGGCAACGGCCTACAGCGTTTCATTCGATTTATTGTTCGTTGGTTTACTGTATGGTATTATACGCGTTTATCGAGTACTTCTTTGTGAATTCGTGAGTTGTGAATTTTTTAGATTTTCCTGTTTCATTAGAGTTATGACTTCCTGGATAAATTTTGATTTTTTTGGATGTTTGGAAATTATCTGATTCAAGGCTGTTTATTCAAAAAATCGCGTTGTGTTGCGATTAAAACCTAAAAATCTTAAGCTTTCACCTTTTTTTTGAAAAATCGCTCCGGTTTGACAGTTTTAGATTCTTAGTTTTCCTCATAATTTTTGCGATAAAATATTCTGCAGGATTAATAATGTGGTGAAAGAAGTGGAATCAAATGTGAAGGTGCTACAAAAACTAGGAATCTGAAATTTGAAGAACATAGCTCCTACTTTTTTACAAGCAACAAACTTAGGGCAAGTTTTTTTTGAGTTTTAAGTGTGTTTCAGGGCGTCAAGGATTTTGAACTAGTGAAAACTTTGTATGCTCACAGTAGTGCCGTGCGTGCATTAGCTCTTTCTGGTGGTTTTGCTGTAGCAGCGAGTGGTTGCGATGAGGGCAAAGTGTGCATATGGGATCTGAATCGTATGGCCTATGTTCGAACACTTGTTTCGCCGAGCAATGGCTCCTCGGAGACACAACTCATTTGCATAAGCCGCACAAGTTGTGATGTGGCCGTTGTAACACGCTCAGGTACGATTTGTGTTTTGCCAATTTTTCGGTTTTTGGCTGTTTGAAGGAGTAGTTTTGAAGATTTAAAACACTAGGCGAAAACGCTGACTTCACAAGGAAGGACGTGAAGACAAATCATTCGCAGTACAGGAATTGATGATTTCCCACCCCATTCCGCACCGTTTGTGCCGTCTGTGTTTACAGCTCAGGGATGGAAGACAGACAGGCTACTAAGTCACCGTACACAGAGACTTGCTTATTATTTGGGAGATCTAAATGGCACTTCCAGTGTTTTCATTAACTGTCAAAATTCGATTATGTTCCTCTGCACGGTGGGCCAACAGTGCCAAACAAACTGCATATGTTAACACATAGAAGACTCCAGGCTCCCGACCTCTTCCAGTCTCCTTCTAGCCAGTGATATTCATTGTTTTTGCCTTTAAAATTTCTGAAACACTTGTTTCGTTGAGCGCGGTGAGGTAGTTCTAGATTATTACAAGTCTGTGGCTGCTTCTCTCTGTGTTGAATGTTGTTCAGAAACGTTTGTTGCCATTGTTTTTTCGCTGCGCACCCGTGAGATAGCATATTGGCTCTCTGAAAGATTCTAATGTAAAAGGGCAGCTTTGTCGTGTTTTTTTTTTTTTTTGACAAAAGAGAGTCTGATCCTTCTTTTGCTAAAGAATTACGATTTTGCAGATTTCCTTTTGCTCATGTTTTTTTTTGTTGAATGACTTCGAAACTACAGGTTATGGTAGCCGCGTCACGCTCTATACAATTAATGGCTTGAAAGTGGGCCACATCGAAACAGATATTGCTATCACAGCAGT